GAAATTCACTTGGAAGTGACACCTCAGTGGCTTTACAAGAGACCTTTGCGTCTAGCTACTGACAGTTTTAGAACTCCAGACGTTGCCATGATAATCAGAGAATTTTAACTCACAAATCATTATTCTTCTCTCATTTCTGTATTTATCACAAGCTGGAGAAGTGAAATGTACCGTAAGGTTTTCAAATAAGACTTTTCAGAAGTGAAAGTAAAATTCTTCTAAGGAACCAAGTGAGCAAGCTAAATGGGGAGTTGAAACAGACAGCAGTTGTAGGGGGAACATTTACTGTTGCTTTTCTCACCTCTGTGCAGAGTCACAGCCACATACAAGCATAGTAACTGTATGCACGTAGGAGAAGCAGCAAATGGAGATAAAAATAATGTAAAAGAACATTTTATTTTCTCAAAATCATTGAAATAGACAAGAATGATCTTCCTGATATACATACACACTCAAGTTTTCTATTGCAAAAGAAAATAATTTGAGCACAAACAAGACTCCCCATTTTCTAAGAGCCTACGAGCTTTCGCAATAGTATTTGAAATCCTGACTTCCACAGGAAAAACTTGAAGGCATACGACACACTTATGTTTAGCTGGACATTTGTGATGTAGCATCCGGGTGAGTACTGGGCTTGAACATGGCAGTGGGGAGCGAATCTCTGCTTTGGTAAGACAGGCACACAGGGATACAGCTTCAGCTTTCCAAAGAAAAAGAATATTATGCTTTGATTTGATTAACCCTAGAGCGACTGATGCAAGAAGCCTTACCATCTGTATTTCAGGCAGTTTGCTTTCACAAGTCACACAGTGTTTATGGTGAAGAGGATTTCCTGTGCCACATGCCTGACAAATTACTTTGCCCTTTTAAATAGAGAAAGAATACATTTCACATAGTATTTGAAAAATGTGAACAACAATAAGAAGAGGAGGACTTGATCTTACACAGTGCTGTGGTTATTCAGCCCTGCAGATAGAATAGATCCTTCAAGTCTGCTGTGGGCTTCAGTCAGGCCATATTGCCTGGTCATCACAAATCTATGCATCTTAGTGACATTTTTTTTTAAACTATAGTACAGTTCCCTCAGGAGACCCAGGATCAACACCTCCAGATCTCTGTATATATTAGTGTCAGTTTGCTTAGTCACTGCACTCACACAAAACAGATAGTCCAGTTTCTGCAAGGAAAATTATTAATAATAATAATATAGAATCATAGAATCATAGAATGGTTAGGGCTGGAAGGGACCTTCAAAGGTCATCTAGTCCAACCCCCCTGCAAGGAACAGGGATAATATAACATGAAGGTGCCCTAAAAGGTCTTAGCACAGTCACTATTAACAAGAGTTTCCACCAAAGCTAAGAGTAACGAGTCTGATATTTTGATTGTTGTCACCAAGTAGTTCAGGTCTGCCTTTGCATCTACATCAGGGCTACCATAAAACATTACATTTGGCCAATGTCTATAACCTACTTTGACATCAAGCTGACAACTGCCTCAGGTTATGAGTCTCCTTTGTTATCTGATAGTCTTCAGCCAGCAATTTCCTTTCAGCATCCTTTCCTTTCCAAAAATGTTCCCTTGCGATTGTCAGAGAATCATATAGAATTGTTGAGGTTGGAAGGCACCTCTGGAGGTCATCTGGTGAAAAGGGCAGTCAGTACCTCAGCCTTTTCCATGTCCTGTGTCACCCATTCAGCTGTGGGCCCACATTTTCCCTAGTCTGCCTTTTGGTATTTATAGACTTACAGAAGCCCTTCTTGTTGCCTCTGACATCCCTCACCAGATTCAACTCCATAGGGGCTTTGGCTTTCCTAACAACATCTCTGCATATTCCTCCCAGGTTACCTGTCCCTGCTTCCACCTTCTGTATACTTCCTTTTCATATTTGAGTTTTGACAGGAACTTCTTGTTTATCCCTGACAGCCTCCTGGCACTTTTGCCTGTCTTCCTGCTCATCAGGATGGACTGCTCATCAGCTTAGAGGAGGTGATCCTTGAATCAATCATCACTAGCTTTCTTGACCGCTCTTTCTTCCAGGCCCTTATCCCATGGGACTTTTTCAAGAAGACCCCTGAAGAGGTCGAAGTCTGCTCTCCTGAAGTCCAGGGCTGTCATCTTGCTTTTTGCCCCTGCTCCTTCCTCTCAGAGTCCTGAACTCCACCATCTTGCGGTCACTGCAGCCAAGGCTGTCTTTGACCTTCACACTCCCAAAAAGCCCTTCCTTCCTTGTAAGTATGACACCCAGCAGAGCACCCTTCCGCATTGGCTCCTGAATCACTTGTGTCAGGAAGTTGTCATTGATACTTTCCAGAAAGTTCTGGATTGCTTATGCACTGCTGCATTGTTCCTGAGGCAACCTCACTTAAGCCCTGTTTTGTTGATTAAGTGTTCCCTTTTGTCCACATCACCCAAGACCCTTTGCTTGTCAGCCCTGTCCATTACTCTCTCAACAGGGCTGCTGGTAATCCTCATTCCCCTACGGATTCTAGTTTAAAGCCCTCTTGCTAGCTCAGCTCACCTGCTGACAAAGATACCTTTGCCCTATGAGGTGGATCCCATCTGTCCTAAGGAGACATTGATCCCCAAACAGGGTCCCACTATCATAGAAAGCAAAACCTTGCTGCTGACACCAGCTCTGCAAGCAATTGTGGACATCTGTGTATCAGTCCTCTCCTCCTCCCACACTTTCCCCTGACCAGGAGGATCGAGGAGGGTCCCTGCTTGGGTCCCCTGGGTAGGGAGTATTTTGTAGGGCAAATTTTGGCTGGTTAAGACCACCAGCACTTTTGGATCGCTGATCAAGACTGTGCTCTAACAGTCCTGCCAGCCCATCTGTGCTGAGCACTTAGAATCAAATGAGGTAAGCAAAGTAATGAGAACATATTGAATAAACTTAAAATGCTTACTAATACTAAGGCCATAAATCATAGAACCATAGAACATCTCTCTACTGAACACAAGTGCATGCATTCTTGTCATTTAGACTGCTACATCATGTGCTCTCCAGCATGCTTTCCTGAGCTTAGGTGGTTTACCTTTAATGCTTATTTCTATTCAAGGTGGTTTTAATCTTACTAACTCTTAAAGCTGTCAGAATGTAATTACACAAACCTGAGTTGGATCAAAATATTTATAATGAAGTAATCTGTTAGAAAAATGCATGCCAGGAGGTAAATTGCTATTTTGTTATATTTATTCTCAATTACCTTTACGCAGATGTTGGTTTGGGGCTGCAGCTGTGGAGCTATTGGTGACTCACATACAATGCAAGTGGGGGTATTCATTGGCACAAGATGTCTGCATTCAAGGCATGGTGCCATCTGAAGAAAAAGCCACATCACAGCATGTTAAGGACCATAATGAGATCATTAAGGTTATCATGAGATTTTCAATGTTTTCCTGGTTAGAGTCTACATCAGCAGCAAAGTCACTGGAAATAGAGTGGCTGAGAGCAACAGATGCTGATCCTTAAAGATCAAAGGCTATTAAGAAAATTTGAACACAATTGGAAAGAGAATGCTTTACCGAGGACTAAAAATATGCCAGAAAAGTACTAATTTAATTTTCAGTAAATTTAAAATGCTACTATAAAATGTGTGCAGTTAGTTCAAATCCTGCCAGTTATGAACCTAATCTAACGAGGTGCTGAATATTCTCCGTCATCACTTGAAACTACAGCATTTCCCCAGACAAGACAACTTTCTGATGACACAGGGAAAAAACAAAACCACTATTGACTTGTTAGATCAGATAATTATCTCTTCGGAGGAGCTTAGAGAAGGTAGTTACAGGCATCACTGTAAGAACTTGGTGCTCTTATATATGCCCGCACATGCCACTGTTTCAAGGTTTCAGACATATTAGATGGATCTTCTAAAGCTGTGACACAGCCACTAGTTACTAACTAACTAACTGCACTGGTTAGCACTGGAAGAAGATGCGCATGCAGGTGCTGAAGATGTGGTGGTTGTTGCGCGATGAGGAGGAATCTGAATTCAGTGATATTTCCTGGCACAAGTGAATAAAACACAATTTACTTTTTCATTGTTATCCTTATTCAAATATATGGCACTTGAAGCAATCTATGGTTAATTTTGCCCATTATTTAAGAATTACATCAGGCCCATTGATAAAGGTATTGAACAAAATAAAACAATCAGAACAGAGCTTCCTGAATGAAAGTGTGACTAAACAATGGTTTTGCCAGCATTGAATGTATAATTTGCTGAAGAATTTGGTTTCTCCAAAGAGGATTTGTTGATTGTTATGATGTTTTGCTGACCTGTGCCCCTTCAGGGGGCAGGAAGCGACGTACTGGCACAGGTGGGATAGGAGATCCACATTCCTGACAGAAGTGAGCCAAGGGGTCAGACAAGCGAGGTGCAGAACAGCGTGCACATCTGCAAATAAGAGCAAACCAGCTGAGCTTGTTTTGGTATTGTACTGCTGCGTAATAACGATTAATCTGGAACCTGCTGTGACAAGACTTAGGCCACCGATTTCTCAGCGGTGGTTTCCAAGCTACAGCAGTCCACCAGACCACGCCTCAGCGTCAGTGATATGAAGTTCTGGACTCTAAACAGCTTTGCAAGGTCGAACGCTCTCTGGCTGCCGTGGAGTTTCACACTTTCTTCCTCACCATGTAAGCTACACAAGCCTCCTGACTGCAATCTGTATCAGGCCTCACTTCTGCAACATGGGGAACTGCTGATGTAGATCACATAACCCTTTCAATATTGATAAGTACTAACGTTCCGTGGGACTACTCCAGTGCCCGGTTTTCACCTACAGCAGTGAGGGCTGTACTCTTCATTTGAAAAGAGACAGCTTTTCCTCTTATCCTACAGGTGTTAGTAACGTTTTTTAAAAGATGATAAGTCAGTTCATGACTCTGATTGGTGAGATGTGAATAAAACTATATGAAAAAGAATTTTCAAAGCCCTACCTAGATCACATTCTCCAGTTACGAGCCAGTGTCTATCTTTGCTTTGCTCGTTTTTATAGAACCCACAGTATTATCGACTCGGTTGCAAAAGGCAATTGCTGTTACTTCCCAAGGACGAGTGTGTTAAAAGTCACTTACTTGAGAAAATCTGTTTCCCTCTGGATCCTTGCCACCTGTGTGCTTGCTAAGCTTTTCCGGCTAGTCACTGCAGAAGAACTAGCATACTGAAATGAAGGTAATTCTTTAGCCTTAGTAAGTGAGTATTTGCAAAATGCATACAACAGTAGCAAAACCAGCCAAAGATGTTCTTTGAAACAAATTGCACTGAAATGCATCGCTTTAAGGAATACCTACCACACTTGATTCTCCTATCGGCTGCATTAAGGATCCACAGCTTCTTCCAATAAAAATAATTCAATGTCTTGATATTTACTTCCAAGACAGTGTTACTGAATATTACGTTTTAAACACCAACTTCCCAATCTATAGCAATAATTATTTGCTAATTGCAGACTCAGTAATATATTAGAAGAGAATGAGTAGGAAAGCAGGCATTGTTAATTTGCTTTGCCTGGTTTTGTCCTTACTGATAACCCTGTACTGCTTTGGGCATTCCTATTCCAGTTAGTCATTACCAGTAAATATAAATTATGCTGTATAATACAGCCAAAGGCATTAATTAGTGAGAGATCATACGAGAATGATCACAAATCTTCACATCTTCATTTTTTTTACAGCTCAGTTCTGACAATAGCCTTTTACAGTTTTCCTCAACACCCCTTTGCTTACCTGCAACGACTCTATTGGTAGTGCTGAGTTGGATTCCTCTCTGTACTCTGTTGTTTCCAAATGACTTGCATGGAGCTGTGGTCCTTGCAGGGACCTGTGAGAAGTCTTTCTTTCTGTTTCCAAGTCTAAAATTAAAATCCTGTTAGTCCACTGACACTCACTTGATGCAGTTAACATACATCTTAACATAAATATTACATACTCCCATTTTAAATTCCTATAGCTAAGCAAATTTAAAAATGTATTTGGCATCCAGATTTTAGGTTCAAATAAACTGCATGGAATTACAGGAAATTAAACTAGAAGAAATCTCATTCCTCTCGGAAAGACCTTATTTTTGTATTTTTCTCTATTTACAGTTGTCTTGCTTCCTGCACGCTCAAAAAAACTCTCAGCTCTTAAGAGTAAATTAATGAGTAAAGATTAATATGATTCCCTGCTCTTAAACAGCCCCATTGCCATTACCATGGAATAACAGGTTTCATCTATAGAGAAAATCTGGATCAAGCTTTCATTTCTGCTTTGTGTACTTATTTTGAAATGTTACTGCAAGCAAACATCAGTAAAGAACTTGGTAAAGAATTTGCAATCCCGTCAGTTTAACAGCATGTTCTGGCACAAAGGGTCTTGTTATGCTGCTCAGAAATTAATGACTTTTTAATATGTTTTAAGAGGTAATATGGTATGTTTGGAAGTTAATTTTTGTTTTCTATTTGCAGTGTTGAGCAATCAAAATTGGAATTCCCAGAGGATGTTCTGTCTTCTGAGATGGTTTTGAAATTACCCATATTTTACAAGTGATATAAGAAGAAAACCGTATACTGCCTATTTTCAGCTAAGAAAGAAGTCTGTTTCAGTCTTATGAGGTAATACTACACCTTGAAAATCTTGGGGTGCTTCACTCCAGGCAGGCTTGATTTCTACATTCACTCCATTCTTCCTTGGTTTTGTAATAAACATCCCACCTTCCCTCTCCTAAAAAGTAATTCCATTTGAATTCCAAATGACATATTTGGTTTTGCTCTAATCCTCTCTTGAGGAGAGAAGATCTCCTCAAGATAGAGTCAAAAATATTTGACTTGAACTGGTAATGAAAGACCAGCGAAGAAGAAAAAAAAAAATAGTCCCCTTGAAATTTTAGTATTACAAAAAGGACTGAGGCAGTAAAGATGGGCAAGTAGAGGTAGTAAAATATATAAAAAGTACATGCAATCAAGGTTTAATTTCTAAGTAATACCATACATACAACATTTTATATTCAGACAAGGCATTAAATTTGCTAAAACTTGCCTGTGTGGTGATATCTTTTAGGAAATCCTTGTAATTGTCTTCAACAGAGAAGGGGATGCTTGGTTGATTGTACTCCACCAGAAATACCTTTGTTACAACTGTACTCTCCCTGCAGTCCCTGAAAATTAATGTTCATAAAGCTATACACATGCCACAAATCCACGCGCAGCAAAAAGCGAACCACTGATGAACACGGCTCATGGCTCTTCCAAGCTTGCGAGTCATTATTTCAGTTAATAAGTATAATCCTGGACAACGCTCTCAGTAACTACTGCCTTGTTTTGTTGGGTTTTAAATTTATTTTCAGTTTAAAACGTACACACTGAGACGTTACCAATAAAATGTATGAATATTTTAATCCCTCAACTTATAAAATTCTTGATACGTCTGTATCTGCTTTCTAGGGTAACTACTGTTTGTCAGCACTGCAGAAAATAGAGGAAAGCAAGACTTTTTTTCCATTCATAATGACATATCCATTTTCCCAGTCAAGCAGCAGGTAGCATCCTATTAATTCGAGATAACAACTGTCATGCTCTACCATTTATTAAATTACAGCAGTAACATTAAAATGGCTGTAAATGACCAAACCATTCATTGAGGATCCATTGTCATTCTAGAGCAGCATCTATTTAGCCCACCTGAAAATGTCTCAATAAAAACATACTGGAAACAAGTGTTAATCCAGGTAGCAATATCAGAAAATACACATAGGCCTAGGTTTATGTTGTTATATTCCAGCGCAGACACAAACAAAGGCTACATGCAGGTGCTAATAGCAGGGAACAGCAAGCACAAATCCCCAACTGGAGTGGAAGTTTCTGCTCCGTTGGATATAAAAGGCAGTAGAACAGGGTTCTGACAGACAATGCCTGTGTCCTCTTTCTGTCTCTAAGTTTGGAGAAAGTCAGTGGTTGTGCAGCAGAGTCCAGTTTTCTTTCTATGTTTTGTAGTTTCACTTTACCCTTGTACTAACATTGTACTTGAGCTGTGAGGTTTAGCATTCTGTGCTCCTTTGGGAGAAACTAAGCAGGTTCCTGGGAAGACTAACTACTATAAATTGGCTGTATCACTGAATGACCCCAGAAAACACCATACTAGTTCCTCTGAAAATTTGGTGACCGTGCTCAAAAAGATGAGCTCTAAGCGTAGTATACTTCCTCAGTTGCTCACCCACAGCCTCTGCAGACCGTTGGCCTACATCCACAGCCCAGGAGATAAACATCAGAGAGATAATTCCACCACACAAACACTTAATGGTTAAAAAGTGTTTATGAGAAAGTGAAGTCAATGCAACCCATTAAGATCACTTAGGCTGCAAACTGGCTGGGGAAAGGGGCATCTCTTGTTTGCAAGGCACAGAGTGCTTTCAACAACAGGGCTCCAAGCCATGCCAGGATATCTGTTCCTTGCCAAAATATGACTAAAATGAAACAGGGTACTTACTTTGTAACTGCCAATGCCTTGACCATTATTTTCCCAACTGGTAATATGATAGGACCCTTATATTTGAAAGTGTTGTGCTCTCCACAGCCAGGTTTCCTAATGAGTTCTGGTTTACTTCCATCTAAAGTGTAATAAATGGAGACCTCAGGTGTAGCTGAAAGATACGGAGAAAGTGATTAGCCAAATTGTATTCAATCTGTGAAAAACAAGCTCTGCGCTTGAAAGTACTCACTCCTGTGCTTTTCTCACATAAACGAAATAAAGCAGCTCCATAAATGACTGAATGTTTGGGACCAAAACTGTTTCTCCCATGAAAAATTACTCAATGAATGCAATTTCATTCTAAGCAATATTTCTTTTCCTAAAGTAGCTGTGTAATGGTTTTGTATGAAAACATTGCAACAGCTTGTCCATTCTAATGGGAGGAAAGATATTTTCTCCCATGGTGAAAGGTGGCATTTCAAAAATTGTAAGGAAAACCTTTGGGGTGAGCCTGGCACATGACACTTTCAAGCACTGGTTTTGCAGTCAAAGCAAAATGCAACAGCTTAAGAGCTTGATCTTGAAAGCAATTAAGACTGCTAACATAAATGAAATAACTCATATGTCAATAACATTGTCTGAATGCATAAAATTAAGTGCAAGTGTATTTGGTGTATCAAAACATGTTGGTTAATTTTATAAGTTCCTTAATGAAGTGAGCACTCATAAAAACTGTAATTGAATGCAAACAAAAGTATAGAGGCTAAAAGTTTCAAATGAATACATAAGAATAGGTTTTATGTAGAATCAAAGCTCTTATTCATACCTGATTTTATTTCAACGAGAGTATTTGTGTCTATTTCATGCTTAGCCTTCCCTGGAAGAGGGATTCGAAGTGGTATGACCTGAGGAGCTGAGACAGATCCAGCTGTCATTTTTCTCAGCAGTGATCTTTAAAAAATAAAAGCAGACAATAATTTTTCTGAACAGAAGAATGCATTGAGAAATACAGTCTTTTAATGTGATTCCTTGTCTTCCTTTGTTTCTCTTAAAAGAGAGAACACCAGATTCTTTAAACTGTTAGTTCTCATTAATATTTGCACAATATTCACATTGAAAATGAGCAAGATCCTAACGACCATCACACTTATGACTTATTCTCCTGTTTCAGAACTGTGAACAAAACTCAAGATGAGCACTGTTGCTTTCATTTCACTTTGGCTCAAGTCTGATTTCCACGTATTCGAATGAAACAGCTTTAGCATCATACATCAGTGATTAGATATGATTAGGAGTGATTAACACTGAAGTATCTTGACTCTAATCATGGCAGATGTGGTGTCATTTTCTTCGCAGCCTCTTGTTTCACTGTGACCATCTGAATATATACAAGATATCCTGAAAAGGACTAAAGCAAGACAGCTATTCCTTACGCTTATCTCAGCTATCGTATGCATTAAGAAAACACCTATAAAACAGGTGCCAAACATAATTTATCCTAATTTACATAGTCATTATCATGTCACACAATTTGAGAGTGAAAAATTGCGTTTGGATACGATAACATTTTACAATACAAAAAGATGTACTCCAGATCTTGGGAATTGATACTCAGGGCCAGGAAACATGTCTACACTGGAAAGATTTGGTTTTGTAGCCAACCCTTCAATCTTCCAGAAACATCTCTTATGTTACTCATCAATGCAGACAGTAATGATTCAGCACGGAAGATGTTCGTTAGTCCACGTTCTCACTGGGGCTACGACAGGTAAGCCACAGCGCTGCCTGCAGCTGCCCACCTCCTTGGCTGTGTTGCCCGAAGCAGCAGTTGAGGAGTGCGGGCAGTTCTCAGCCAAAATCTCTCGGACTGCATGCAGTGGCACAGGAGAGTGGATCAGATCTTTACCTGACACGAGGAGGCAGAGAGTAATTTTCCTCAAGGACCCGCCTGCTCTTGGCGCACCTGGACCAAAAGCACAGTGCCTTGTTTCAGCCTTCGGGGAGCCCGTCACTGGTGAGACACAACCAGTGTCC